GATGATGATGATGATGATGATGATGATGATGATGATGATGATACTGCAATCTTTAGTTTAAGTTGTAATTTTGCAAGGAGTCTGTGTTCTGAGCTGCAATCAGCATCCAATCTTTTTTTTCCCTTAACTGAATAATTTTTTTCCCCATTATTTTTGGGGTTGTATTTATTCAACACTGAATTTGACAATATTGTTAGTATCTGTTAATATTGACAGTTATTCTGTTTCTTCTATGATTTTTTTTCACAACAGAAGAGCTGATACTCTTCTGATGTGAAATGACCCATTCCAGTCCATTTCAGCTTAGCAATTCCCAGAATGTTAATTATCAATCTTGGCATTTCTACTTTGACAACATCAAGTTTGCTTTGGTTCATGGTTCTGATATTCCACAAATACTTATCTCCATAGCATCCACTTTCCCTTTTTCCTCTGGGCACATCATCAGCCTTTTAGCTTTATATTTCAAATCCTTTGGCTTTAATCCAGCCACATCATAAGCAGCAGTGCTTCTCATACTTGCCCTCCACTCCTCCCCAGTAGCTTGTCAGACCTGGATGTCCTCCAATATTATGTTGACATTTTCCTGGTTGTGAATATCCAGTAGGCTGCCATCAGATGTGTCATCAAAGTAACAAGAGCAGCACTGTCCTATAACAACATAAACCACACCTCTTTTCTACATGTGCATGATGCAGGTATAAAAGGTGTGGAGTTTGTATCATGATAGTGCAGTGCTGCTTCTGTCATTTGCCCCCTTAACATGGAAACCTGAGGTAGCCGATTCCTTCCTTCTCTAGTTCCTTTTTATTAAAAGCTAGAGCTAGAAAAAGAAAGATACATACCTGAGCATTCTCTTTTTATAGACAAAAACTAATGTGAAAAAAAAGATGAAGACTACAGTAAGCAACAACAGATCTTTTTTTTTTTTTTTAATGTCTGAACTGAGTTTATAGCGTAGTTTGCATGTTTCTATGAGATGTTTTATCCCAGCATTCCCTTTTGGTGGGAATACCAAGCAGATAAGTATTAGTAATGCATTCAAGTTGCCACCCATGTTCAGAGACCAGGCGACCTTGTGTAACATGTTCTATATGCAAAATGCCTTTTTTCTTTAATGTTTATTATTTATTTATTTATTTATTTATTGTATTTATACAGCCGCCCATCTCACACAAAGTGACTCTGGGCAGCGTACTACAATTAACTTTAATATTTTTTACTAGAGTCCTCTCTTTTGGACTCTAAATGTACACATCCCATTTACACTATGTGTGACATATCTATACTGGAATGATTGATTTGCCCTATATATTATGTTCTGTAGTGACAATGGGGACAGAATTATTTCCCATTATAATAAATGGGAGAGAAACTTGCACCAGACTTAAATCTGGTGTAAAGTTGTGTCATTAATAAGGATTTATAGTTGTAGCTATAAAGGGATACAGGATATAGTGTCAGCATTCTCTACTCCTGAAATGCCCACACCCTGATTTGGCAGCACTGTTCACTAATTTAAAGTGCTTGTTCAGTGACAATGTATTTTTTATATAATTTTTGACAATATAGTGGGGCTAAATGCCACACTTTATAGTTCATGCATAGAGGATCTTCAATATAAGATTATGCCTTATACTCTTTAGGTGCTTCTGCTAACCTTAACCCCTACTTAAAGCACAAAGTTGTACAAAATCTGTTATTTAAAAATAACCATTTCCAAGAAAGACTATATCAATTCAATTATGATAGGTGGAGAAAAGAAATGTGCTGTTACTGGCTTTCAGATATCATAAAGTATTTCTTTTCTAACAAATTTAATTTTAGCTGAGTGATTTTTTTCGTCATATACAGTTTCTCTTGAGTGCCATTCACCTACCACATGAGCATCACCTTGAAAGAAAAGAAAAAGATTCTACAACCACTGAATTGGTTCATTGGTTTAAAAAAAAAAAACTGTTTAAAGACAGCTGTAAATTCGAGACCTTACTTTTAAATCTGCAATCAGTGGGGCTGAAATGCATGCCATTGCAAGTTTAACAGAAGCTACTGATTCTGGAGAACTTTTTATGCTTAGGCTATCAGATCTGACTTGCAAACATTCAGACACCACTAGATGGAAGTTAGAGTTTTTTATATCTCTCTGTTGCCATCTAGTAGCTGTGCAGATTTATGCAGCCCTGATCTGGTAAACCTAATTCTATTCATTATGGAAACTTCAATTAAAATGATTGCTCAAATAATTAGTGATTAGTTAATCTTTGCTTTTTATATTTATAGGGTTTATTTGGGGTGAAATTAAACAAATGTGGGATGGCGGCCTGCAAGATTACATTCATGACTGGTGGAATCTGATGGATTTTGTAATGAACTCGCTATACCTGGCAACAATATCACTGAAAATAGTTGCATTTTCAAAGGTAACAAACCCTAACAAATATTAGATGCTTGACATTTTCTTTGGGTGTATTTTGCTCCATAAATGTATCTATTTTTTTTTTAATCCATATAAAAACAGATAGTCTTCATTTAGCGACCACAGCTGGGACTGGCAACTCGGTCAGTAAGCAAAGAAGTCGCTAAGTGAAACCATGACTGCTTATCATCTTACTTCAACTTTCCTTTTTGTAACTGTGAACTGTCTCTAAACAAGGCAGTTGCTAGACAAGGACTACCAGTAAGTGCTCACCATCTCAGTTTATGGTAACTAATTCTGTAGGTTTATTTAGATATATATACAATGTCTAGTGCCAAAGCAATGTAGGAAGAGTATTTTAAAACTGAGTGTCACTTTTTGTTTCTTAGAAAACAACTAACTGTATAGTCTTCTTGCATACAAATTGGAAAATCCATTTGATAACTCTGTGTATCATATATATCATCAATCTCTCCCAATGATCAGTTTTATATTATTATTACCATTTCTAAGATGCAAAACAGCCATCTCACTCCATGTTTTATATTAGACATTCCATATTCCAGGTATCAAAAAATGACAGAAATAGAGCCCAACTTATATGGTGACCCTCTTTTTCTAGGTCTCCATGGTAAAAAAATAAAATAATTTGCTGTGAAATCTGGCATGACTCCTTACTCCGTATTCCTCCCAAGTCTATCTGGCATTATTTTTTGACAAGCTTACCTTAGAGAATAAAAGTATGTTTTATATTAGTTTCACAGCAACTGGGGAGTTTGCTGGTAGTTGCCCATTTTCTGGCAGTGGGGGAGTGGTTGGTATGGGGAGTCACAGGCTGGTTATAGCCTTATGGACAGTCTGAATCTCCAACTGAACTTCCTTTGCCTAACAGCCCCAAGCATTATGCATTTCCTTCTTAGTTCAGTTGTTTTAACACTTTGACTAATAGGGTTCATAATTCAAATTTCTTCAGTGATGTGCAATCCTTTTTGAGAAGGGATTCTCTATTCTCTGCATAGAGAATCTGAATATCCTACTCTCATGGCACTGTAAAATAACAGATGAAAGAAGCTCTAGCTAACTATCACTTTGTAAAGAATAACCTTGGGGAGACGTGTTTTCATGCATGGTCTTGAATTCATAAAAAATAAAAATGCAATATGAAGGGCTGGTACAGTGGAGAAAGACTTGTT